CTCCTCTATTCGCCACCGAATCACTCAAGTGAGACTAAATCAACACTAAGAGCTTATCTACACTACAGCAGTCAATCAGTTGTGCTTCAAACAATGATGCTGCATCAGTCACGGAGTGTGTCCACACCCTCAGCTGGGATAAGGTTTGCTATTACGTCCACACCTGGGCACCATGGACTGATTGAGGTTTGGGCTATGATCCATGACCGCTGTCACCTGACATCTGTCCGAGCAGGTGGCTCCCTGAGCCAGGGCCTCTCCTTAGCTTGCCTGTCTCACCCCCACCATGCACCCTTCAGCCCCACGCTCTCAATATTCCCCTCTCTCCCCAGCCATAGTTCACCCACCATCTGGCCATCCCCCATTACCTCCCTGCAATGCCCCCTCTACTCCCACATTGCAGCTCGTCAGCGGGCAAGGAGAAATGAGTAAAAGACACTCACTGCTCAGGCTGGCACCTGCTTACCGTGAACTTCCAGTTTTGTGCCATTCCCGGGAGAGCTGTGGGTGATATTCCCCATCTCACAGGTATAGACTCCAGCATCCTGACCCTGCACACGGGGTATCCGGAGAGAAGCAGACCCTGCGGTGAAGTTTTCAGACCGCCTGAAGCGCCTGTCTGAGGGGCTCAGTTCCCTCTTCTCTTTGTACCATGAGATAAAAGCTATTTCGCTTGCCTCCATGGGAGGGAACCTGCACTCCATAATGGGCGCCGACCCCACAGCCGCAACGATGCAGGGCGGGGACTGATACACGCCCAGGGCAGCATCATCTGCAGAGCCTAGAAGAGGAAGAGAAAATAATCCTTTAAAATAATGTCCTGAAACCCTTTATCTTCCAAGCCCGCCCAGGTTTTTCTAAATCGGATTCTAGTTATGAGCTCAGGAGCTGGACCCCGAACTGGGGCAGGGGTGGGTGTGTCACTAGCGAGCCTGCAGCTGATTGCAGCATGGGATGAGTTTGTTCTGGCGACTGGTAGGGGGAGAGGGATAGAGAAAGTTAGAGATTTCTAGTCTAGCTCTGTTTTTAGTACTGTGTCCATCACAGCAACTTCATGAGCTGATACTTGTTGTGGGCATCGGGGAAGGAGAACACAGGGACACAAAATTAAATGCATGAGGCAACTACATCAGTGCAAGGCTGTGGGGGATTGCTTAGAGGTCCAGGTTCAGGAAAGTCACCCCTGCAGCAGCCGGTCTACGTTTGCACAGTGTGCGCCACTGGTATTGCTCAGCAGCTAGTGGTCACTTCGGTACTTTAAAATATCATCCCTGGTTCTGGCTGAGATCAAAGGCCTTTGCGCTGTCCAGGGCTGTAAATGTGGCTGGGTCCTTTCACAGTAAAGTGACTGAGGGATGGGAAGGGAAGATGCTGAAAGCTAAAGGTAGCAGAGGAACATGGAACC